TCGACCACAATTTTTCTTTTTCTTAATAGTATTCAATCTAGAGCTTCCACTCTGACATTGACTTAATTGTATCGTATTTAGTGAATTTTGTATTGAAGTATTAATTAAATCTTTTCTTATATGCTGCTGATTTGTTATTGATTCATTATGTAATTTTTGAAGCACTAAATCCAATTCGGCAATAAATTGTTCGACTGGACGACCGGGGCTAACTTTCTTCTCAAAGAAAGGAGCTTCAATTTTTCGTTTAAGAGTAGCCAACTCAGTTGTTCGCCGTCGAGATGCCGTTTTTGGACTATTATAAATAAACCGAGGACCTAATTTTAGTAATTCATATTCATCCTCGGTTAATTGAATTTGTGCTTCATTAATTATGGCTGGAGCAAGAAGTCCTTGCCCAGCGATCGAACAAGAGTCGGGGTAATAACTTCGTTTGTTTCGCCCTCGACTCTCTCTTGGACTAAAAAATAAATCGATTGTTCAGCTTCTAATTTTAATCGTTTTTCACGTAAATCATGATAATATTTAAATGCTGCATAACCAGGTTCAGCATCAACTCCCTCATCATTATCTTGAGGGAAGCCTGTAATAATACGTTTAATTTCATCTGTTAATAATTCATTTTCTCGAGCTAATGACTGAACATATAATGTCATTGCTTGTATACGAAAATCTTTAGTAATTTGTTTCATTTGATTATATGTAGCTTGTGCTTCATCTTGATTGATAATTGATTCATCAATTTTAAATGATAAATCAACTTTCTCAATAAATCTTGGAGGCATATCATATTCAACACGTTTTGTTGCTGCAAGATAATTTTTATTTTTAGTTGACCAAAGTTTCATTTTTGGTTTCAATATTAAATGAATATTCCATTGAGATGGAGTAGCTATTTGTTCAAAATCTTCTAAAGCTTTAAATTCATCCATTTGAATTTTGGCTACTTGAATACGAGTTTCATGCTTTTTCTTAACATGTTGAGTACAATGTTTTAAATATTGAAAAATTAATTTTTCTAGTTCATCAACTTTATTATGAATTGTATCAATACTTAATTGAGCAGCTGGTGATTTAGGTGTTGCTGGTGTTGATGTATTGACTTCTATATTAGAATCTGTTTGCGTTGCATCATCAGTTGTTGCTCTTCCTTTTTCTTTTTCTTTTTCTTTTTCTTTTCCTTTTTCTTTTTTATAAACTGGTATTTGTGACCAATAAGTATGCAATTGAATTTTTAAATCCGTTATAGTTGCATTAGCTTGAGCAACTATGGCTGATAATTGATTAATTTTCTTTTTTACAAATTGTGTATTGACTACATTATCACGTTTTTTAGTACGTTGAATAATTTCTTTTGCCCAATGTTTATTTTCAGTACCCATTTTTAAATAATTTTCCCAAACTTGTATATCATAATTAGCTCGAATCCATTCATCATATACAGGAATTGAAGCCATTAAATAAGCATGATTACCACTTTTTCCAATAATATTATTAGTTGCTGTCGATGTATTATTTTCTATCCATGCCAATATACGATCATATGCTAAATATGATCGATTTTTCTTTTTCTTTTGATTTTTCTTGCTAATATTTGTAGCAAGAACTGGTTCATTTTCATCAACATCTGATACTAAATCAACATTGTCAAGATTATTTTCAGCCAATACAGCAAATCGATTATTTTCAATAATATTTTGATTTTGGCGATATTGTCGTTGGCGAATTCGTCTATTTCGACGTCGAAATGATGTTGTTGTAGTTGTTTGTTGTCGCTGTTGATTTGAATCAGAGCCTTGTCGCCGTCGTTGTCCATTTACATTTGTATTGTTGACAACAAACGATTGAGTTATATTTGAAGAAAAAATGATACGTTGTGGTAATGCATCAACTGGCACATTATTTAAATTTGAAGCTGTAGTTATAGCTGCATTTGTTGTAGCTAAATTAAAATCATTAGGAAGATTTGGTGAAGGTTCACGTAGTTCTTGTGGCATAAAATCATTTAAACGTATTTGCCTTGGAACACGTCTACGCTGTTGTCTTGATCGACTTCGTCTTTGATTTGAACGACTTCCTGAACGTCGATTTTGACTAATTCTTCTAGCCGATGTTCTTCGAATAAATCTTCTCTGTTGTTGTGCCATAGGT